ACAACCATCTTTTTCTTGTCATAAAAGAGAAATTTATACGTTGATATATTTCAATCAAGAGGTTTGTAATATGATTAATTTCGTATAACTCGCCTTATTAACGAATTACACTCTGTATATAAACTGTACAAGTTCGTTAATATTACGTTATCCGCGAAAGAGACTTCGGAGAATTATATATAAAGAATGCCAATATCAGTGAAATGTATATTTATTTATTATAAAATTTTCCTCGAAATCAGGAAGCAGCTTTCCACAAAAATGTAATTCAAAAATATGCAGAACTGACGAAAATATCATACACCGATATTATTACTGCTGGTACTAGGAAATCAGCCGAAAAACTAAACGCTTATAAAATTATAGCATTTTACTCCTATCTATATGCTAATCAGGTATCTGTCTGCCTTATCGATGAAACTTTTTGTCAATAATTTAATTAGTTATAGTGGAATAAAGAAAAAATGTTATAAACATATACGTTTGTATGTTACAAACATATAAACTGCTCATAAAACTGAGAACGAATTTTTGAGTATTTGAATGGTGAACCTAGTTACCTAGTATTAAAAATGAACTAATTTTGTGTTAGAACGCAGACTTTTTCATTCACTTCCTAAAAACGAAACCGTTGAAAATTGGGGAATTCGCTGAGCCAAGCCACTCGAGGGAAAAAATAAGACGTGAAGCCGCCTAACGATCGTCAAGGGATGTCATTAGCTGGTGTCCACTGCTGCATGAATCGAATTAGTCTTGTTTACACTGTAAGGTAGTATCTATATTAGATACATAATTAATTTCTTAACAGTTCTGTTGAATGTATGAATGAATAAATTAATATATTGTAGATTATGTACTATACGACTGTCATAGCTCAGATTAACTACGCCATTCCTTTCTTAACTTGTCAGTAACTGAGTTGATTCATACCACTTCACTTTTATAATATAAAATATCTAATCATTATTTAGCATTTTAGTGAAATCAACAAATAAAGCAAGGCAAAAGCAAAATTATACCACAAGCACAACTGTGTGTAAAGCAAGTAGTTAGTAAATCCATGTTCGTTTACCTAAATGAGGGCTGAAAATCGTTCCTCAATTCGATACAGAAATCCCTATGATGAACGTGAGATTTACTTTCGTCATTAGGTTAGATGGAAACGCAGTTATTGTACACATTGAAATTCTGCCCTCACTGGGGAACTGATTGCAATATTTCCTTTGTCTGCCTTATACATACCTACTTAAAAATAAAATCTGTGTTGTAATAATAAGTTTACAATAGTAGATGGGTAATTCGTTACAATATTATTACAAATTCAATTACATTCTACAGTCATAATTTACATCTAGCGTCCACTTAACTTCATTTATACCATATTAGAAAAGTCACATAGGACTTTATTTATTGATTCATTAGTTGTTTACAAAATCATATACGCTAATACAATAACTAATTAAATTTCTGTTACCAATATAATTTTTATTGCCTAGCTACAAAAATAAAAGCAATCCTTCGTTTCTATTCTTTTTCAAATAAGTATAATCCATAAATAAGAATAGATTTTTAGCACCCATATGTTAAATATGTACCTACAATTCTTTTCCATTTCATACTAAAATGTTTGTATATAGTATAAAAGTTATAATATCAGAATTTTGCAAACATAAACTTACAGAACCTGTTTTTTTTAATATACAGATCATATCACAGGGTATTAAATTGAGAAAGATTTTTCTACATAAGAATATACTATATCTACCAATACCAGAATATATATAATATACCATACCAGAACACATATCAATTATATGTAGGTACATAACTTGTCTAATATTAATAACAAGATAAACCACAATATTGAAAAAGTTCCTAATTGTAAAAGCTATTTATAAATAGGTACTTTCTTATGTTTTAATGCGATGCGTTGTTTACTTCGAAACTCCAAAGATATTTTGACAGCTAGGAAACAAGATATCAGACAATTCACGTATTTTGGTTTTATACAAGGCATTTATTTCGGACTTTATTGATATGATGCAGCAAAATACCAGCTAATAATTATATAATGAGCAGTTATCATCCTGATCATTACATAGTATAAAATAAAGTGGCTGTCGCTGTCTGGCCCTATGTATCTATGCTTAAATCTTTAAATCTACGTAACTGATTTTGAAGGGGTTTTTTTTAATATATAGAGTGATTCAAGAAGAAGGTTTATAGGTATATATAATACATGTACACCCGTGCAAAGCCGGGATGAGTAGCTAGTAATATCACAGATAACATAATGTAATATAAATAAATGATAATGGAATCAATCAATATAATCTTTTCTTTACATATTGTCACGGCCTTAACTGGAATATAATTTTTAAATAGAGAATAGTAGTCATTAAATGTTAGATTGTATTTTCTCAAAATTTTACCCCCGATGGGAGAATAGGATGACCCTTGATACCCTACTATTTGAGAAATAATATTATTCGACTCAAATTTTGTTGAAATTTACTGGGTATCTGTTTAGTGGTGTTTATCGACCTCATTATTCAGATATTTCAAGATGTCAAAATATATTTCAGGATAAAGAGGAAGACGCGAATTTTGTACCAACAGTAAGTAATATTATTCAGGTCTATTTTAGGTGACATTTAAATTAGATAACATAAATTTACTTGTACTATATCAATTTTGTATGGATAATATTATAAGGACAAAATATTTACAAAAAATATTCGATGCCTTACTTAGCAAGTCAACAGATGTATATACCTACTCTTTGTTGGTACGAAATTCAGTCCAGAATTTATTTTACATTATATCTTCTTAGAGGCAAAATTAATAATGTAGGTAAGTAATATCAAAATATCTGATACAAATATTGTATTAAGTAGAGTTGGATATCTTTAAATTGCCTACCACGACCCTAATATCAGGGGTAGGTACTATCGGAGCAGTGGTAGTGGACACAAAGAGAAATCGGCACCCATTACACGCGCGGCGATCTAGGAAGTTTTCTAGTACGCTCCGATATTACCACCCCTGATTATAGGGCAGTCTACAGGTCCTATTACGCTTGTAAAGTTGGACGAAAAGCTAGTTGTAATAAGAAGTTAATAGTGCTGATAGGTATATACACCATACTCGTTAAAGACATTTAGAAATTAATAATTTTGTGAATAATTAACCGCCGCAATAGGCACCCCTGGAAAATTTAGTTTATGTGTTAAACTAATAACAATGCCTTCTATTCCGTTGCTCTAAGATATGCCGACAGTGTTTAGAGAACTATTATGACGTTTTGTTTTCTTATATGCGTATTAAGTTCCTAGGTTTGGGCAAAAGAACTTCGGAATTTCTCATATACTTATAACAGTTAACTGAACTTTTTATAAATATTCTTTTTAAATTTAATTTTGTCTATAAACATAAAAAGAAAAGCATTATAATGGTTTATCAAACCAAATCATTATAGTGCTATAAACGAATTTTTGTTACTTTTGAAGGTAATATTATCATTGAAATTTTTTTTTGTAATAAGTATTTTTTACCAAGCCTACAAACCGCAGTATTAGATTTATTATTAAGGATAAATACAGCGTGCTTAATTTCAGCCTCGGCTAACTTCAGAAACTTTTAATTTGTTGGTTCAACAATCAAACGCTTCAAGAAAGGACAACAGATTTTGCGATATCTTAGAAGAAGCGTCTATACTGTTCTAATATACATTTATATAATTTTTCTTGTGGATGTCTGTAGAATGATGTTCCCACCTGCGCTATGGTGTACGCTGCCAATGCCAAGGCATAGAGGTTAAGGTGAGCATAATAAGGTCTGTTGTCGGTCTGAACTTAGCAGTTGTAAATATCAGTTTTTTATTACATTATCAGTATATAATATACCTATATACATATATATATAATATTATTAGAAATTTGCTAATGTATTATATATTATCTTGTATTATTATTATACATTATCTTTTATTTAAATCAATCATCTCAAACCATAATTGTATATCTAATTAAACGTGGAAATTACAGCTGTATCGAATAGAAATTATATATAACAGTTGATTCATCAGTTTATTATATCTAATTGTAACAGAAAAATAACAAAACTTCCAAAGTACGAAAAAGTTTTAGAACATTTTTTATTTTTGTAAATATTAGGTACCTACCTACCTACGACAAATCGTATCGCAAACAATATATTTTGAGGAACTTATCCAAACTACCTACCTATTTTAGTTTGGGGGGGGGGACCGACGTAATCGATAAATTCCAATACGATTTAAGGCCTGCGCAGACGAGGCCCTTCTATCAAAATATATGAGTTAATGTACTTCATTTCGAATTTTTTAAATTATAATCATCATTACAACCTATCACTCCTTCTAAGGGTGCGAGGTTTATATCGAGACCCCATTAGGCAGTTATTTCAATAGTTAATTAATAGTTTTTTTCATAAAAAAATTACTACAATATACCAACTACTGTGAAACAAAAAATAAAGATTAATTATATCATTGGCTGAAAAAAAATACAAATTAGTCTCAGCCGCGTACAGAAGTCGGTCATGTATGTACATGTATAATGCACAATACATAGACGAGTCGTATCTCGTCTGCAGAGGCCTTTAAAAGACCATTACAAATTACGCAATATTAAATAAATAAACATAGACTGAATGCACACTCGAGATAAATTTATGCTCGTACTAGTAAAGGCTGGCTGCTATTATGTAACGTTTATGAAGCAATACCTACTACTGCACAATAGTTTATTCTTATGCAAGCAACTTATATAATCAAGTTAATTGAATTGCATATATATGCCAATGATTATTATGCTCAGATATATAAGTACTAATGCAAATACAAATATTTACTGCTTAATTAACATTGAAAGTAATTGAAACCTACTAATTATATGTAGCTATATGACATTTACCAAATGGTAATAGGTAAATACAGTAAAACCATAAATTAAACAGTCAGTTTTATTAGATTGAAAAGATTATACATAGATAATTTTGGTATAGAATTGGTATCGGGCCCCAAGTTACTCTGCAACCCAGATTAATCATAGGTTACAGTAAAGCTTAGTATGCAAGAGAATTTCACTAAGTCACATTTTGCTCCTCTTCTGCAGAGACATTTCCTTTAAACTTCTTAGCTTCTGTCCCTTCTAACTCTGAATTAGACTCGTCCTTACTTAACTCATTTATATTATATTTTTTATATGTGTAATAATTGTCCACAACGCTAAGTAAGCAAATTCCCTTTATAATTTCAACTATTATACAGAGTTTTGGATTTTTCAAATCCGCTTTGTTATCTCCATTCTTCATAACCACCATCTCAGCTAGCTCCTTAATAATTAGATCACGAGAGACACTGCTATTAAAGCGCTTATTAAAAACAACTGCAAATGTTGATGGCTCCTTCAGAAAAAAATTATCAAATAACTTCCCTGCACATTCCATTATGTCTGGCAAGTTCGCTTTACAAGTTGCCATAATAGGAAGTAAACGCAATACATGACGTGTTTTCTGCAACTTTGTAGTATACAAATCTTTCATTATGGCGGTAGTGAGCTCTTCTGGACTAGGCAAATTAGTCTTTATGAAGATACAATTTGAAGCTCCAGTTTCAACTACCTGAAAGCGCTTATGTCTTAGAGACTTTTGCGAGTCTTTCTTCATGTAGTCCAGTTCACGCTTAAGCAGATCTCCAATATCAGTCTCATCATCAGATTCACTATCGGAACGATCATCGGACGCGGTAGCCACGGGCGGCAACGCCTCTTCTGCTGTTAAATCTGGATATAATTTACCTGCATACTCGTTGAGTAAATTATACACTTCTTTCACGCAGTCTTTCTCTCTAAAATTGCATGTGCAAAAGAAGCCTCTGAAGCCGGGTTCTAAAAAATATTTATTTCGACGTTTTCGGAAGTAAAACTTTTTCTTCTTTCTTGTATCACCCATTGTATTTTATTTAAATATATAGTATCAATCTATGTGTAATACAATTATGTATGATATAACAGAACAGATACTATTGAATGTTACGTATTAAATTCGGATTACGAATTCACATAACAATACAGCTAACACAGCAAACAATAACCATCCACACCCGTCATGATCCGTCTGTTTAACGTCAAAAATTACAATCAAACGTCAATGTCAATGTCAAACACGACAAATTTTTGTCGTCTTGTAATGTCAATAATGTATGTTGTCGACAGTGCCCTAAACAGTTGCCATAATGTTGAGTTGAGTAAGGAAATAAAAATTAAAATTGCGTTTAGTTCTTTTTGTACTTTAGTTACACAAGTTTAACTCACATAAGTGACTAAAATATCTAATATGATTTTATAATTCTTTTAATTTTATTTGTCATTAGGTTATTATGACTAATAAGTAAAATAATTATAAAATCATATTAGACATATCGTTAGGGTTTTAGACAATATCAAATAACATTATTTTTCTCATATTACAGTACGATACATATAGCACTGGCTGAAGTAAAGGAACAAAGTAGACGGTGGCATTAACATTTATTTAAAAGCGCAAAGCGCAAGATTCTTATCGTTCTTCTGGTGATTAATGTTTTCTATGTGTATACGCGTGGGGTATACACATAGAAAATTGCTAGAATAATAAAACATATAAGATTATTCAAGAAGGCTTATATCAAGTTTATTTGAATAAACCTTAATTCTATTCCAGCAGCCTAGCGTATAAGTTATAGCATGGTAGCAATAAACTTGTTGTAATATTGAAAAACCGTTTGTTACCATGGTAACAAACGTACATAATACCAAAATATCATTTTTTACAATTTTTGTCTCTGTTTGTTCCGGCTATTCTCTGAAATGGCTGGACCGATTTTGACGGAACTTTTATTGACAGATAGCTGATGTAATAAGGAGTAACTTAGGCTACTTTTAATTTAGAAAAAAGATTATTTTTAGATACATGAAGTTAAATTCCACGCGGATGAAGTCGCGGGTACAGCTAGTTCTAAATAAAATAAAACCCGATAAATAAGAATGTCTAAGTATAATTGCTTGTACATTTTGGTAACTAAAAAAGCAATCAATAAAATTTGGTCATTTGGCACTAAAAAAATGAAACAATTTGTGTTATATAGACATTACATTAAAATTAAAAGTTTATACAGAAATAATTTTATTCATAAAACAACATAACAACATAATAAAATTACAAAAGTATATAATAAAAACTTAAATTTATAAGTATTTAGATTGTAAGCTTATAAATATCCAATTAACTAAATGATGTGTACAATATAATTACATAGTATACCATTTAACATAATACTCATATCTAAAATTATATTAAAATACTATTAGAATACTTTTTGTGAGTATATGCATTGCATTAAGTGCTTTGTCCGAATTTACACATACGTTACACAGCAGAAGAAAATTCGTCTTCTTGCATTTTTACAGATTACTTGCTCATCATTTCTTCATAGTAAAATTATTTATTAAATTTACAATACTTTGGTTTCATCACCGTTGGTAATTTAGCGACGACAGGCTTGTTCATTTTTGGGCAAACAGTAATGCTGTAAAAGAATTAATAATACTCAATTTTAAAATGTTTATGAAACTTATATATTGTATTATCTATAAGCAGCATAATATTTACAAATGCGGTAAATGGTTATTAATCATTTATTTTCGTATATACATTAGAAGTTAGTGCTTGTGTCGTAAATAATTTTATTATCTTTTCTAATATATATGTATAATACTTTTAAGAATACATTATTTTTTTAATAATATATATATATATATATATATTTAAATTGTTTAATGTAATATGCTATCTGAAAGACAGAATTATATAATTATTTACAGAAGCATAATTAATATAAAATATTCCATGTCTTCATATAAGGCGGATTGAATGGAACCATATGTACCCACATTATAATATCTGTGCACACCACATTCCTCGCAAAATAAAAATAATTTCATAATATCAAATCATTTCATTTAAATTTAAATCATTTCATTTATGAAATTCATATGTTCTACGATTAAAATTCTTCTGGCTATACAGCCGCACTCAGAGAAGTGTAATAATTTCTTAAGAAATTTGACTTAGTATAAATTAAAAAAATGTCCTAATCAGTGACAGGTAAAAGTTGATCAGCCAACTCTTAAGTGTCTAATAATAGACTTTAACATACTTTTTTACAGGTTTTTAAATTAAATCTATTTTATTATAGTTACAGATTTGTGCCTGATAAGGAAAAAATACATTGCACCTATGATGATTGTTTTAAAAAAATCTACAAGGAGCTGTACTTATTACTGTATTAATTACTTCCATTGCAAACAAAATTCAGTCGATAGCAGGAATCCTATGTTCACTGTCCTATGCTCCATTAAAGTTGTCATTAGCTAATGAAAGATTAAATTTTGACTATGAGAAGAACATTAACAGTTTCAATAATTCTTAACTAAACATTAACTAGCGATAATTTAAGAAATGTCTCTGATACAGCTGATAATATAATGTACTTTTTTTAATATTATATGTTGGTGGTAAACAAGCATACGGCCCATCTCATGGTAAACAATTACCGTAGTCTATGGATGCATGCAACGCCAAGGGTTAGGTGCGCATTGCCGACCCTTAAGAAACATTAACCGTAATATATCCTTCTTGAAAAACCACATGAAAAGCGGATACAAATTGCAATTGAATTAAAGTTATTATTATTACTTACTCTGTACCATACTCTAAAGAGGAAATCTTCAAGTACTCTATATAAATACTGGGTGACTTCAGTAATCTCCATGTCATTGGGTTGAACAGGTTGGTCTCATATTTCCATTCAACAATTACAGAAACTGGTGGATAGCCAGTATCTTTAATTGCAACCATTCTAGTCTCCAAGTCTCCTGGCTTATAGTATTTCCTAAAAAATAAATAAATTAGTCTCTTACTTACTATTCTTACATGATGCATTAATTCATGTTAATTTTAAAATATCACTAATAACCCTAAAACATCGTATCATAATCATACAAAAATATACCTAAATACATTTTACAGTACACTGAAAGTAATCCCTCTTTGCGATAAGTCTTTGCACGTATAGAATCTATTATTATATAATTTAGTATTAGAAATATAAAAGGTATTGATTGCTATATAAATTATGTATTACTATTACTATATGACCATCCCGAGTTCGCCCTGATTCAAGAAGGTACTTTTCATATAAACTATGTTGTGTATACTATATATTTTTAACGGTGCAAACAACCAAGTCATGTATGGTACGGCAGTATCTGGGATTAATTCACAATATACTCTTCTGTTACGGAAATTTCAAACGTTTTGTCGATTCATTTTCCTAAAGTAATTGATTGTAAGTGGTCATTGTTCAACTTATGTAAAATTATCTTCAATATAAACGACTTTTACGAAACCTTTGATAAAATAATTATCAATGGTAATAATACGTCATCATTAAATTAATAACAAATATTAAGATAAAAGTAATATCAATGTTATGCATAACTTTTAAACAATTACGCATAAGATCCTCCCATTGGCAATAATTACATTATCACGAATGTAAGCAATATCATTGTATATATAGGTTAAGGGTTAGTACCTACTCAATAATATTGTAACATTTCCTTGTTCATTTGTTGTTCTAGTGAAGACGTAAATTGACGTAACAGAAAATTAACACTAACAAAGAGTGCGAATTTGTGTTCTATTACTCATTTGAATCCATTCTACTGCATTTATTGAAGTAATCAAATATTTGATTTTGATTTATATTAATTTTTGTGACATACATATTATACAAAGTTGGGCCTACCGCCTGTGGGCACTTTTAACTCACGTATTCCAGCAACTATAATATAACTATGTTCCAATCTAAGTGTGAAATATGGCAGTGAAATTACAGAGCACGGCTGCATATATCCATGGCACCATTCATGTATATAGGACGACTGCCTCTTTCTATCAGGTGTGTCATCTACTTTTGTCATTCTAGTAATATCAAAAAGTTTTGCGACACTCAATGCTCGCTCTTATAACTGTAAGGTTAATAGGTACCTACTGTTCATCATCCAAAAACTTGTGTTCACTTTTATTGTTGTTTCTGTCAATGAGAGTTATTGATAATTTTCCAGATTCCGGTCCATGAGTGTTGCTCTCATTAGAACTTGATACTTTTAGCGTAACCTCATAGTGAATTCCTGTAAGGTAAAAATAAGACATTATGAACAGACTTGTAATATTGAATTCAGAGTATAATAATATCCATAAGGACATATAGTTTCAGACAAAGACGATAAATAGTCCTTAGTCATCAGGATGGCCAATATATAAAATAAAGACTATCTATGTGCTTTAGAAGTCATAACCTGATAACTGTTATTATTGACATTTAATAGTCATTGAAGATTTCGTATTGTAAAAAAAATAATATCAATCATAATATACATAGAATCATTTAGAGAAATAATGTCACCGTGATGAAATTTTAAATCTTGTGTTCTCTATACATAGGTATATAATTTAAAAGAATAGTTGAGTTTCTTGCCGGATCAATTGACTCAAAATTAAACAATATATGAAAGGCTTTATAAATAAAATTTACATATTGATTATTACAGGAGCAACATGAGAAAAAACCCAGTCAGTTGCAGAAGAATTAACAAAATCATGAAGGCATACAGAACGAAAGGGTCGATGATCGAAGTCGATGGTAGAACCTTATTTTATATCAGTTGGTAAAAGCAATATGTACTTACTGCAGAATGGTTTCGTGCCTCCAGTCATTAAGTATAAGGGTATATTAGAGTTAGAGTCGACAAGACCGCCAACTTGTAACCGTTTGTACACGTTATACGAGTGATATCCCATAGGTATACATAAGTGCTTATTGTCACAATTAGTGCAGTTGCCACCAAGGAATGACTAGAATTAACAAAATTCATATTAATACAATAATTCATAAGGTATATTTTATACAAGTTTTTGTTAAATATGTAATTCACCACAGCATGAGGCCGTTTTGTTCGCTCTTCAGGCATTAACGACAATGGATCTATTAATCAATATTCCAGAGACAGAATGATAGCTACACATTTTTCTGTTATCTAATAAATATTATAGAATAGAACCGAAAGTTCTTTATTCAAAAAAACTTCATTTTAAGTACTTCTTAATAGTAATACTAATATTTTTAATCTACCGCTGATTCCGAAAATTGGCTCACCATAAGAACTAACAAAAAAACTTGCGTGTTGCTCTTTCAAATAATTGTTCTAACGTTACATTTTTAACATGAAATATGTGAATACAAATTACCAACAAGCACTAAATAACAGATCTGAATGTCAATAAAATGTATGAACAGTACTCACTTCGTAAGAGTCGCATTGTATGCCGAGGAAAGGACAAGACGGCGAAATAGTTTCAGTGAAATAATCATGGCTTCTCTCGTGATTACACGAAACGTACCAAATTACGTTTTGATACATTTCATCGCCGCCATCACGTCTTGGTTTCCCAGATTTGCAATTGGGCTGTGTAGTGCCACCATTAGGATAGAAGTCCACGTGACCAATTGGCTCGCTTATACCGAAACCTAGAAGTACATACATAATATTACCAATATTCATGCCAGTTCCCTTACATGGTCGGAAGAGAGAATTGAGAACACTCTTGTAATTATTCGCCAGATTAACAGGTCAGTTTCGGGATATTGAGTATAATTTTCAGGAAGTACTCAAATAGAAGTAAAATAAATACGAAACAAACAAGGTAGCACAGTGAAATGCCAAGTATTTAGGTAGCTAAAATTAACTCCTATCCACATTTAATATAATTTGTTTTTTTTTTATTATTATGAGTTATTTTAGTAATGAAATAGAACAAATTATATTAAATATGGATAGTCTCCCCATGAATCAGATCAAACACAATTAATCCACAAAAATAAAAATGTGTCTATAAGTAAAAAAAAATAAAATTTTATCATACAAACCTGAAAGATATAGTGGAATCGCGTTGCTATGAATAATGTCTACGTATTTAGCGTCTGACCTGTCCAGACGTACCAAAGTAACAGTTTTGCTGAAATACGGTGCCGCTGGGTCTAAGCCTGTTATTCTTCCTAATTTTAAGTTAAATTTCTGTAAAAGAAAATATCAAAGTACTCTTTAAAATTTTATCTCTTCAATAGTATAGTATACGAAAACTAAGTACAATTGCTGAATAGATCAGTAGGTTTAATCGGATTGCTTTGAGAGCTGTGTTTTGGTTGAAGATTGAAGGGTGGGATTAGGCAGTTAAATTACAAGATATGGACACATAACATTATGTTTCTCCGGAATGGAATCGCATGAGTAATAGATAATGATGCGTAGCGTCATGTCCTGAGATTATTATACATAGGCGACAGTTACCAGATACCATCAAGTGGTACGTCAGTTTATTTGGTTAGTTATATAAAAAAATAGTTGGCAAAGTTAGAAATGCTTAAATGTAATAGAAACTCAATTGTACTTTTGCTATGATATAAGTAATTCTACTATTTAGCAGAGTATTTAAATCTAATTACCTTTTGCAAAGCATGACCACAGTAACCACCCAAATGTGCACCCAATGAATGTCCGATGAAGTGAAAGTTGTCCAAATTCGATAAACCAAGAACTTCCTGTAATAAAACATATAAATATTTTATATTTTTATTAGGCACAAAGTCAAAATATCTGACCACAATAAACATCGTACGTATCGAATACAAAAAGTGCCGTCATGTCATATTCATACAAAAATTTCAAAATCGGCGTAACAGATTTGGGTTCGATTTCGAAAAATACTCTCTAGATTTTTTACTTACTATGCTCTTGAATGAAGGGAGACACTTTTGACAGAGCAATGTTATTATTATTGCATAATATACCTAATATAATATATACCTAAAATACAAATGTAAGTTTAACTTTATATTAAGTATAAAGAAATGTAGTTAAGACTTTTGATTTTCCACAATCAGCCTCTTATCTGGGCCGTTGTGCGTATAGATATCTAACCACATTGCGCTAAAATGAATACGATTTAGACTATATTTGAAATATACTTGATTGCCGTGAGTCGTAACTTTTGATAGGTCAATCTCATGATGGTAGCTGAAGAGACTACAGACACATAATAATTATGACCTAACTGACAAACGTACCCTAAACAGTAACCTATACCATGTGCGCTGTAGCATGGTGCGGGTGACAGTTTCAGTAACGTCTCATTTCACTCTTGAAAGTTACCGCCACAGTTGAAAATTTACAAATTATGACTTAGTATTTTAGCTGTACCACATCCATAATATATTAAATCATTAATAACTGTAGTAATTTCAATTTAACCCAGCCAGAATGTTCTAATCTACCAATAAAAGTAACTGTCACTCGCACCATTTACAGCGCACATGGCCAGTGCAATCTCGTCGCGTAGCTTATTCAACAAAGTAGAATGCAAGTTGCATTCTACATTGTTTAATAAGAAATACATTTTTAGGGGAGTATATACTTACATAAATATTGTGAATGAGATGAGCGGTTATGACTCCTACTAGTCTGATATTAGCTACTGCTTGTCCATATGGTGGCTGGGAACCTCCTCGCCAATCCAATATAATTACAGTTGCGTGATCGTTGTGTTCCAAATTCAGCAGAGCGTTAGCCATATTCTCAATCTATAAAATTTTAATTATACACACAATATATAAAATTTTAATTTAATTATACAAACATTTCAATTATATATTTATGAAAAAATACTGTTATCCAAATAAAAATAAAATATATTTAATTAATTTTTTGAGTTGTAATTATTTTGAGTCGATTCCTGTATAATCTCTAACATACTAATATATAATAAATTACTAGAATATCAATAGACACATGATAAATACATAACCAAAACAATACGACTATTCAATAGCGCGTATATTAAGTTTATTTGATGAAACATTATTTCTTAATTAAGATCAACAGTATAAATAGGTCAATGAAAAAAAATTAAGAAACAAATAAAACGTACCCAGACTTTATGACCACCTTCTATAAATCCGTGAGATATTATGTAAAAAGGACCTCTAGGATTAATATTAGCATTTCGTAATCTGTCCAAATCATCCGCTAATAATAGCACCGGTAACTTGCGATTTCTTCTTGTAAAAACAAAATATCTGAAACAAACAACTAATTGATTTGAGAATGTAAATCACCTCTAGTCTTCAAGAAGGTCTTTAGGGTGCTATATTGATAGTACATTATACTGTCTAAGACTTTATACTGCAAAAGAGACCACGCAGATATTACATATTCTTCGCAGCTGATTCAGACTTACGAATATGGTAAAAGAACCAGAAAACTATAATACAATCGTAAAAGTAATAATAATAATAATAATCTCAGGACAATTCACACAGCGCCATCCAGACCCAAGTTAAGCTAGTTAAAGCTTGTGTTATGGGTACTAGATAATATGCTGATACAAATACATTATAGATATTTTTTTTTTTATAAATACATACATAATATACATAGAAAACACCCAGACCAATACAAACAATCATTCTCATGAATACAAATGTTTGTGCGAGGAATCGAACCCTCGACCGTCGGACGTAAAGCGGTGTGCTAGACCGCTAGAACACCGAGGTCGTCAAAAGTATTTTATATAAGGTTCATTTACATAGAAAAAAATACTATTCTATTGTATCATTATTCTTAGTTTTATATATGATAATTATCCGTCATATACATGACAATGATCATTGATCACGTTCTTTTAGTCCAGATGCAAAAACATAATTATAGTAAATCATCTGTACCTGCGAATTTATTTGCTTAGGTACGCGTACAATTAGTAGAAGGTCGCTAACTTTCTACTTACTATATTTTTTTATTTTAGGTTTTAAAGATATTATATTTTAATCTGTTTCATCTTAGCATGTAGTACCTATTTGTATTTATTTAATAATTTAAACAGCACCTTGTTTCCGATGCTCGCGGATTCAAATTCTCAAACATTGTATTTGTATTAATTATCATTATTATATTGTTGCATATTTGCTGAAACTACAAATAAATTATTTATCTATTAATTCTTTGTACCCGTCTGGGTGTTTACTACATACATAACAACTAATAATATTAACTTTCTTTTCTTACACTTATCATAATTGAGATAAATACGTCACAGCACAATTAAGGGACGTAAATATTTGTTTTGATTCTATAATACTGATCGATGTCATGGACGAGCCCTCGAACGTTATCTTGCGTAGACATGACATATCAATGCGAGTTCATACAAAACGGATCTTAAATTATATTACTCAGGGAATAATATTTTTTTGGACATGAAATCTAGCAACATATACCTTAAGAGCCAACGTAATAACATATTTAAATATAGATAATAAAGAACTTTCCATTGATCGTTCTTTGATCGATCGATATGTTCTTTTACAAAATATTTCTTTTTCATTATGACCCTTGTGCTATAACAAGTCGAATAGCATCGCATATGATTAGTTAAATTAGAATGATTGCAGGTCAATAGTTTATAATACTTTTCATATAGGATTATGGCTATGCCTATTTTGATACAAAAATATTACTGTATAAAATTAAATATATTAAATTATAATAATTGATATAAAGCTGAAACCCAATAACTTCATGAACCGATAAATATTTACGCAGAACTTTTTATCACGCACCATATTTTATTGTCGTTGATTCATCGAAATATCTGATTACTGCTAACTGATTTCTCAATTGCTAGACTTCAATTTGGCACATTTTGCAAATTTAATAATAACTGCGTTATGTAAAAAAAAAGGGGTAAATCGACGTTCGAAGGTTTATATTTTCTCTTTAAAGATAAAGAGAAAATATAAAAAAAAATTAAGTCTCGCAATATTTTTATATTTTTTTCTTTAAAGACCTTTTTCGATTATTACTATTATTATACTATTTTTTATTATTATATTTATATTATTATTATCGTACTATTTGCTATAAATTCGGCATTTAGTACGAATGGATTTTCAGAAACTTAATTTAGTTCGCTATAAGCACTTTTGAAATAATCTATTAAGAATATTCATATGATTACTCTTTTTTCTATACTTACCTTATGACTTGATAAGACTTGCTGAGTAGCTACAAAGGTGGTGAATTGAAAATTAGCCGATGAAAAAAAAACTGTATACCTATTACTGAGTAAGAGTCCGGTGATGGAAACATCAATAACAAATTATTTCCAAAGAAGGTGGAAGGCTCGCATTCACCGATGTTGATTTCAAACGTTCATAGCTAAATGTTACAAAGCATATTAAATGCTATATACACTATTGTTGAACATGTATATTGTATTGTTTTGTATGTATATTGTAGCATATAAATAAAAATAGTAATTAAAATAATATAACTCACCGCACACCCATAGACTCGGGAGTTGCTGGGAAGTAGTTGTCGGGCCGATTCTCCGTCCAAGGGTACGCTTTTGAGAAACACCCGTAGTTACCATAGCATCGTTCCAGCTCGGCATCTTCTGAATGAATATATATTTTTAATGTTACATTCTTTTGTGTTAATGGTACGGTCGGCGTGGCACCAGTTATGGATAAAGTCAATTAGCCCATCGTGGTAAATTCACCAATGACCGCATGGAATTTATAGAAATTATAAGAAAGAAGAAAAAGGGAATCCATTTATAGAAATGGTATGATATCGGGTGGTCGGTCACACGCTAGCAAGCAATCAGCCACACATCCACATTACTAAAAAACATTAGTACGATTTCAGATCCTCTACCGCTACAAAAGTTAACATTATGTCTAAAACATTAATATGCGAATAATATCGCAAACATTTGCTACAGGAACGCCTACTACTATTATAGTCGTCGATAATACAATTGTATTGATATAATTAAGGTTAAATTATATTATATTACAACACCTAATTATACTGATTAGTGTGGATATCGCGAATTATTACGTATATATTTGAAATGATGAAGACTATTTTCATGTATGTTATAAACGTAAGCCTCTCATTTACATGGACCCTGGAAGTTATGTAGGTATATGTATATTGTCATCTTGGTGTATTCAACACGACGAATTAAGTGACTCTTTCCATCTCATACTTTTATTCATTATGGGTGAGGTCGATATTAGCGCAGGAGAGATTACTATTTCATAGTATATTGTATTAGGTGTTTTCTTCACCCGAGAGTTAGTCACAAATATAGCACACAGTTTTGGTTTTTTGTGTACGTTGCCAATTGGTTTAGATTTAAATTAATTGGCAAAGACACTCATTATTATATTATAAAAAAATACTATAATTACATATTAGAAATGATGAACAAAGTCATTTATTTATTAAGATGTTATCTCGGAATTTCTGTATGAATGTGAACTATTTATTCAAGAATAGAATAGCTTTTATAGTGGTAGAAACTTTAATATGTTTAGTAGGTAAAAAAGTATTATCTTTCTCTCTATAATTATTGGATAAATACAGTATTATGTACGTATAATAAGTATATGTACCAAAAACGATATGCCTCCAAAATATTAAAATTAAAGCTTCAAAGTAAGTAATTCTAATATATAAATAATATTAATAACTGAAGTTGGAAAACAAGGCACAATAAAACATAGTAAACAAAATAATGAAATACTTACCACTAAATGTACTTGGAAATTTCGTTACATCCGTTGTATTTTGTTTGTCCATCAAAATCATAATTGTTTGAAGCATCAACGTTGCACTCGTGTTGTTAAACATTTTAAAACGTTATTCATTAGTAATCAACAATAACTTAATACTCTCACTAACGGAAAGCGAAAATTAGGTTTTACTAACGTTACGTTTCTGCGTACGTTATCAATTATACAAACGCAAACGCAATGAAATATGATCAGTGACCCGAGCTAATGTATTTATCACACTACACTCATAACATAGACGACAGTTTCAAATGAAATGATTTGACGTCGCCAGTTGTTTATATAGAGGCTAAGGCTAATGAATGCACCACACAACCTCTATATGTAGTTAAATTACTTAACAGGTCCTCGTTGCCCATAGCTCGCAGACGTTCCGGGATATGCCGATAACAGGGGTTACAGCGTTATCTTGGTGGTTATTTGTTAAAACGATTGACGCACGAAGCGTCTGGGCGATTATTGATACGTACTAGTACCTTGCATTGTATACACGTGTTAATTATGTTTCGGTAGGAATTAATTAAATTTTTGGGGTTCCGTAATGTAACAGGAAAATCATTCGATATAAAATTCTGAATAAAACTGTCACAACAACAGTCTGTTTATTGACCGGTTTTATTCAGAACTATATTGTAGAATTAAAATATATAGCGTACTTTTTAACGTTTATTTTGGAAGCATTTCCACTTTTCTACGCTTAAGCTTCACTAACTATAGCTATAACAGGTACCTAAGCAGTACCTGACAATGTCGCTTTGACTGCATCTATTTTTTTTTATCACTATTAAATGGCCGTTCACTAAGCTAAGTTGAAGTATTTTAACATCTTACCGAATATACATATACTTATATACACGGTAAGTTGTTAAAAGGTTTCAACTTAGCTTTTTGGGCGAAGGTGTTCAGTTTCATATACATGATAATGAACAACTTTTTCAACAAGTATCTATCAGCAGACTGAATTGCAATACACATTAGGATTAAGCAAGTTTGTTGTTTGAAATAAATTGTTTGAATTGACATAAAAAACAATTGTTATAAATGTTATTCATAACTTTCTAGTGAGAACAGACTATTATTATACATTTTATATGGTCCACGGAACACTCAAGACGTATTGTATGTTTTACAAATGAAGCATAAATAATAGATAAGTAAATTAAAGTAAAGTTCATACCTATAAAAAATAGCCAAATGGCGTTTTCCATTGCAACTGTATGAAAAGTCGTTAGCGGATCTACATCTTACACCAGTTGACACTCGGTTGAGTTAGAAAAAAATAATATTAAAACCGGTGAAGTGCGAATAGATTTAACGCATTTAGTTCAGTACACACATTTCTGTATCTCTTTAAAAATGAGTAGGTACTAAACAAAAGAAATACATAATAATAATAGCCTTGGACAATTGACACAGTGCTATCTAGTCTCTAGCTAAGCAGAACTTGAGTTATGGGTACTAGACAGCTACTATAAATACTTAAATATATATTTTTTTCAAACATAGAAAACATTCAGAACAATACAAACAATCATACTCAACTCCAAATGTTTGTACCGAGCAGAATCCAACCCCGCGACCATCGGAAATAAAGCGCTAAGCTCAACCGCTAGACCACCGAGGCCATCACATAATATACATAGCAGTTATACATATGAATACAAACATTTACTTTGTGCGGTAATCCGAACCGTAAAAATTAAGTGACGCAATGTCTAAAAAATACTTAATATATTAATAGAGCAAACTCGATTTTTTTCGGGTTGTTAGTTATAAAATACTAAATGCAATCACTATATTTGTTGACTTGAATGTTTGAGTACGAATAACGAAATATAACTCAAAGATATTTGATTGCCATTTAAATCGAAAATATGGTGCGATCCTATAACCTTATAATTTAAACTTAAGTATCCCCATTTATTACGACTATACGATTAAAACGCTGCATACAGTACTTACTAATAATTACGGGATGTTTCCAACAAGGAACACTAAAAATGAACTGTAATAATTAAAAAATACATAGACACAAGATATTAAACAAATAAATGAGTAAACAAGTTGTGAACCTTTGAACTGTCTCGATAACATCAGCTAATATTAAGGACATAAATAGTGAATCAATAATTTTAATTGATGCTACTGTGAACATACTGGAATAAGTTAATCTAAAATTAGAACTATTGTTTATTAATAAATGATACACCTATACCTTGTCAATTGAAAACATTATCAATAGCATTCCTAATAACACCGATTTTGTTAAAAATGAATTTGTTTTGAAGTAAATGCTATATTTAAAAATATCTCTAAAGTAGGGCAATATACCGGCATAAACGTAAAAAACTAAGTACTACTTTGACCCGGAACTGTATAATATAAATTTGTTTATCTAGGTTTATAAGTAGTAGTAAGGATAAATATGTATATGAAAAAACACGCAGACAAGTTAGATTTGAAAAATGAAATGAAAAAAATATATAAAAATATTCATACTCCATTTACTACTGTAAAAATTCAATTATGAAATAAAATCAATAAAAGTATATGTATTCATAGACATTATTATATACTCTCCTCACAAACTTATGATAAAGTGGTCACAATAGTCATCGTGCCCCTGCCTTTTGAATTGAGGTCAAATAGAAGAGCTGTATATTAATGTTAGTTAAAGGGTTTTATTTTAATTGATGTCTAGAACAATGTAATTACTCTAATTCTACACGTCACTTATCATTTACAAAGTTTCATATTGATATTTTTAGAAGAGTGCTTGAACTTGTCAATATTAGTTTAACGCTTGTTACGTCGTGTCTTTAAATACCACCACGATTGAAAAGTATCACAGCAGAATATAAAGATTAAGAATTTTTTGCACGCTGCGAATTCACTAAAAATACAAACATTACATAAAATAAAAATCATAATAATAATCGAAAAATTTGACGCTTTGGTGACCAAGCTAAGATTAGAATTATAAAAGGTCACAAATATGGTGACTAACATGAATACAAAGAAATAGTTGAAAGGATGATAGCAATTTAGTTTAATAATTTGTTTTTATTAAGTGATAATAAATATATCGTCTTCAATGTTAAATATTATTTTACCAAGGAGGACGTGAATAAGCATCTACAGTACATATTTCAGTCTTGAAATTTTATTCAATATTACTTGACTCAAGTAAACAAACATGTCTCAAAAAATCACAATAATTATTTCATGCAAAATTATCTCCATTCACAAAACAGTCGTAACATAATTCTATAAAATAATCCACAATAATGGAATAACGTCAAAAACATTATATAAAATTCATACTACTTTATAAAATTCGTCACCTTTACAAGTGTACTTTGCGTGATTTACTCTTAGAAGGAGTTGAAGAAAAGTTACAATTAAAAGTCATGTCCTCATTAAAAATATCAGACATAGACATAGCATGATTTTTACTAGGCCCTTGCACTAGGAATTCAACATCATCAGTTCCAGAATTCTCTTTTTCTTCCACTTTAGAATCAGGCAAACGCAAATTTGTATTCATTTTGACGGAATCGTTTGAATAAAACTGCACGCTACTTGACGAATTCTCATCATTAAACCCACTATCCACCCTCATCCATGGTATATTAGATATCTCTTTCAAAGCAGTCTTACTATTATTGACTTTAGACATATTTGTCACAGTCAATTCAGAAGGTTTTATGGCACTTTCATAATAGCTAGAGGCATTTACATAGAACGTATTCTCATTAAAGCCACTATCTAATCTCTTAAAACTAACTGAGTTATCAACACTCGGTTTTGTATTATTGGCACTATAATCATATTGAGATACATTGTCAGTCAAAAAATTGAGATCAACTTTATTAAAGTCTATCTTTTTGTCCTCCATACTGAGAGGATTATCACAATTATCTAAACTATTATCTAACGACATGCGCACAGGGCTCAAAAAGGTAGGTCCGCGTATTTTACTAATTTCGTGAGATGACACACTACGTTTACTCTTTCCTTTGATAGGTGTGCTATCTAATACGTTCACTGGCTGTAGTTTTACAGATGATTGTATTTTAGAAAGATTCTGTAAGGATTCAATTTTGACTAATTGTTGTATACTTGTTTCTTCAACAAGAGACCATGTTGCCTGACACTCTTGATAACAATTAGCTTCTGAAGACTCATCTAAAAAGATTAAAAATATATATTATATATTATCTGTTAATGATTATAAATTATAAATAAAGTATAGAAATAATCAGTCTTTTTTTATCTGGCTACTGAGAATGAATTCATCAGCAATACATTTAGTGTTTAAAATGTATTTTAATTCGAAGCACACAGACAGCCTGAATTCAGTTCCGGTTAATTTTCTATATTTTCGTAGTTTATCCTGTAATGATCGGCATCACGAAATTATAAATTCTAAGAATATTTCAAAGATATATTTTACTAACATACCAAGAATTATATAAGTTTAGTTAATTGTGACTAATTATCAATAAATATGTTTATTCCTATAGTAGAAAGATAACAAATAATATCTATCTACTGTACATATTTATTAATTTATGATTCAAATTTCTAATTACGTTTTAATAATCACTTAGCACTGTCAAGAATAATACACATACCTTGAGAACGATCATGAATTGAACCATCCATACTCATGTCCATGCTAAAATCTAGTTTTTGCACAGATTTGCTTCTATGCAGACTGGACAAGCTGAGGCTGCGTCTCTCTGAGAATGAGATGGAACCTTTCCTGCTCCTCGGTGGAGACTCTTTGAGTGATTTACTCCGCTTCACAAGCAACTTATTTGGTGTTCTGCACACACACTGTCTCTTTTTATCGCTTTCGGAATCTGATACTATGCAGTCGAGACATGTTGCCATTGCATCCGATTCAGGAGATGTAAAATTATTTTTCTGTAATTAGTAAAACATATTTTTATTACGTGTTTTTATTACAGATACAAGAACAAAGATGAAGAAAGTCCTGTTAGACTGTAGAAGTTAATTAAAATACTATGGATTTCACAGAATACAACTGAAGACACAGAAAATAACTAATGTCCCTATACTTTTTTTGCTATATTTTATTATATATTATAAATCAAAATACCATCACCACACCATAATGTTTGAAGCACATATCCCACTTTCTATAGTTTGGGATGTGGTTACTTTGAGAGATCTCAAGATACAGCTGTTTGACAGTAGAAAGTTAGGAAAGGAATGGTAAATATATTTCTAACACAACTGTGTACAATATTTTCTAGTTATTTACATAATAAATATTTAGTACTTAAATCCTCATTTAAAAACTGCCTTACAAAATTATAGTTTTCTTTATTTGACTTATTAAATAGAATTCCTTAAGGAACTGTTATTCATAATAACCCTTTGGTATTGAGTTTTAATGAGTTTTCAAATTCAAGAATTCAGTGTTTAAGTCAAATAGTATATTCAACACAACATACACAACTTCATTTTAAACATAAGAGACTAGTCACTTTTCATAGGTTTACGGCATCCATTTATTACCAAGAAAATTAAAAAGAAAGGCTATGTTAGCAAATGCTTACATTATTAATAACATAGATTTTCCAAATTACAGCTTAGCATTTACCAGTTAGTAACAATGTCACAAGTATAAATTACCTCTTCATCACTCGAAACGACTTTGTTCACTGGTGATATCGATGCAGAGGCGAGGGAAGACGACGTAGCAGACTCCTGATCCGTGCGTTTTGGCGTTTTAAACTGTATCGGGCTAAAACATGGTTCACCGAAATCCACAACATCCAGTATTTTATTACGATAACAAGGTTTACCACTTAGTGAAGGTCCTTTCTTTAGCGGCGTACCGAAAGTACGTTTCATGCCTTTTGTCACTAAATCTCGACTCTAAAAAATAATAAAAAAGTAATAATAACTACTCGTAATTTTGTATTAATTTCGAATTTAGTTCTTAACTGGCTACTCGCCCCGGCTTCATATGGATGTACATGTATTATCCTTACTAATATTATAAATAAGAAAGTAACTCTGTCTGTCTGTCTGCCTGTATGTCTCGCTTTCACGCCAAAACTACTGAAACGATTTAAATGAAATTTGGTACACAGATTGTCTAGACGCTGAGAAAGGACATAGGCTACTTTTTAATGCGAAAAAAGGGTTGTAAGGGGTTGAAATTGGGGATGAAAGATTGTATGGAAGAATCGTCATTTTTGAAGCTAGCCGCTTGAAACTTATTTTTGAGGCTGCTAATTAAATATATATGACATACAAAGTTTTTAAAAATGTTATCCTTAAGGGGGTTAAATAAATTAGAGGATATTTTTTTTTCATGTAAATTCGTTATTATGGAAGCTAGAAGATTGACAACTTATATTTGAGGGTGTTGATTAAATATAAATAAATATGACATACTAAGTTTGTAAAAATATTACCCTTAAGGAGGTAAAATAAATTAGGGGATGAAAGATATTAGGTAATATCGTCATTTTTGAAGCCAGATCTATTAAACTTTTTTCATTGGCTTTTTGAGTTAGTTTATTAAATACCTTACTAATATTATAATTGTAAAAGTAATTCTGTCTGTCTGCCAGTCTCACTTATACGCCAAAACTACTGAACAGATTTATGTGAAATTTGGTACACAATTAGTCTAGATCTTGAGAAAACACATAGGATACTTTTGGATGCAAAAAAATGGTTTAAGGATGAAATGGTAGGTGCAAGGATGTACGTAAGAATCATCATTTTTAAAGGTGGAAGCTTGAAACTTATATTTTAGTCTGGTAACTAAATGTGAATAAATATGATATTCAAAGTTTTTAAAATTTTTACCCTTAAGAGGATAAAATGAAATAGGGGATGAAATATTTTAAGTAAATTCGTCATTTTTGAAGCCAGATCTATGAAACTTTTTCCATTGGCTTTTTTGGGTTAGTTTATAAAATACCCCACTAATATTATAACTTTGAAAGTAACTTTATCTGTCTGTCTATCAGTCTCACTTACACACTAAAACTACTAAACCGATTTAAATTAAATTTGCTACATAGTTAGTCTAGATCCTGAGAAAGGACATAGCCTACTTTTGAATGCGATGGAAGGGTTATAAGGGGTTGAAAGAGTTATGTATGGAAGTGTCGTCATTTTTGAAGATGAAACGATGAAACTTTTTCATTTGTATTTTATTGGGTTAGGTCATTAAATATTTTTTTCATTATTTGGTCAAGGTCTATTTATATTTCGACTATTCGAGGACGAAGTCGCGGGTACAGCTAGTATATATATAAACCTTCCTCTCAAATCACTCTATCTATGTAATAATTTTAACAAGTCATTATTAAACAGTAGAAGATTCATAAAGATATATTTCAACTTACTACAGTCTTACTTAACTTTGAAAATGGCTGTAGTTTGAAAATGCACATTTGTTGAAATATTTTGGAAAAAATGAAATCATACAGGAATTATACTAACCAAATCAGGACTGAATACAACTGGTGTATGTGCTTCGTAGCTCGATGGTGGGCGTCGTTCAATATGAATCTCATCATCAGTTTGTTCTGAATCATAATGATCCATGTCACTGTGTTCCTCGAAGAACAACTTCCGACGTAGAGACCCATTAGCTGTGATTTCATAATCACCAGATATATTCTGATCCTGTAATTAGTAATACGATTGAGCCACCAAGAACAATCGACAAACAATCCCATTGGATCGGATGTCATGTCCATTGACAACATCAGTTAAGATTGTTATTCTCATTATTATATATTCCATTTTATACAAAGTTTCCTAATCTACTTCACACCAGATAATGGGGATAAGATGAGGCACCATTTTAACCTTTCTACAATTCTTATGCATATTCTATTTATTCTTTTTATATTCAATATACTCACCTGTGTAAAAGTACAGAATGGTTCTAATATTTTCTCTATCTCTGGAGGCAGCTCTGGTGGCAATGTAAGAACTGTTTGTGCTGAAACTAATTAATTAATATTATTCTTAGAGTGCCTATGACATTATAGAATAATATCAAAATAACCATGGAAGTTGAAGCTCTGTGTAGAAAAATTCTCCACTAAAATATCTAACATAAATGTTATTTTTTTATAAAGTGTAAATATAATGTAATGTTACACTATTACATTACATTTTCCAAAATTTGTTGTTGTTTAAATATGTATTTTTTTATGTAATACATTATATTACATATACACAAAAATAAACTATAATTACAATATAGACTAGCTTTTCAGTTTCGCTCGCATTGAGTAAAAAAATTTTTTTTTTAGTAAAAAGTATCCAATGTTCATTCTAATGCCTATAAGTACAAAATGTACAAAATGTCATGATGATCAATTCAGTAGTTTTTGTTTGAAAGCATAATAAACATCCCTACTTTAACATTTATAATATTATTATATTAAGGATGGAAGGTAATTGTGATAATAATCTATTCTGAAAATAAACACCCCTTATTCAGATATTAGAGTTCTTATTTTACTTTCATTTACATTATTTATCACCTATTGTACATGTTTGTTAACAAGCATTAGCCTCTTTCAAGTATTCCCAATAATCTATATAATTACAAGCAGTCCGTCCACACATTGCTGTGGCTAACATATTATTGCATTGGTTCTTGAATAACATAATATTGCAACTATAAATATAGATGTAAGCTATCCATCTTTCAATTTTCAAATTGAAATCTATTGAATCAAATTGCATGCAAAGTGCAAATCAAATTTGCAATTGGTTCAGTAATTTAGGAGTCTATCACGGATGTAGAACATAACATCTAATAATTTATATATAAAGATTATAAAGAGAAAACAATTAGATTTTATTATGAGTAAAGTATTCTCAGCCACAGCACCAATTTGAAGAATTCCTTGACTCTATGAAAGGTAAATTATTCCATTGTGACATAAATAAAATAGCATGGTAATATATAAAGCCACAAAGTTAAGAGTACCTATACCATACCTACCTACCTAAGTAATGTCACTACCCCTAGTGTCTCTCCTAAAAATATATACTAAAAACAGTAATTTGCTAGTTTATCCGTAAATGTAATAAATATCCAGTATTATCCACACCACTTTGACTGCCAATTAAGAGATCATTCTGAAATTAGATAATTAGGTAACTTACCATCCTTCATGACAACTGATTGGTCTTTGATAAAACTTGTTATACTGACAGTGGTATCATTTGATATTTCAAGAAAGGGTTTCACTTTTTTAGAAGATTCAAGTGGACTAGGCATGACCATCTCCTGAGAGAAAAATCTGTAAGAGGTTAATAATTCAGTATCATTTTTTAATCAAATAAACTATTAAAATGTTATGAAGATTATGTACAAATTGAATTTGTTATTCTATAAGTAGTAAATTACAAGGCGATATATATGGAAGTTTTACATACAAATTATTTGGATATACAATTAGTCTGGAAAGAAATATAACATTAAACAAAATTTCAAACGAAAAACTAGATTTACTAACTTCTCAGTTGCCTCTTCTGCGATTTTCTCCAATGCAGGATCAGGGGACGGCTCGAACTGACTATTACAAGCCACGATGTCTGCAGGAACCAAAGCACAAGCTTGATCAATATCCCAACGAAAAGATCCATTGTTTTTATTCTTATATATCCTGCACATGCCTGGACTGCATACAAAAAAAATTGTTAGAAATGCGAATCATATTTAAATTCGATAATAGTCTATTAATGTGATATTAATATATTCACCTGCATATTGGTTTGTGCAGCCTCTCAATTAACGCGATATCAAACGGATTACGCACTTTTCTGTTTGTCGGAGGAGGAGTAGATTTATGATTATTAGGACTAACATTTTCATCGTTCATTTCGAAAATAACGTTAAAAGTTTACATTTATGAAAGGATAATGACCTGACCAATGACCACAGATTAAATTTTTTTTTAAATGACAAGTCTAGTGTAGCCATAATAAAATTTGTTTTGTTATGCCAAATCTTCTAATGTTTACTTAACTTACTTAATATTTAAAGCGTGAGGCTGTAAGTAACGTAAATATTCATCTTTTTAAAAAATTGTAAGTGATATGATACATACATAATTTTTGTATACTATAACAACACAAAAACGGTATGTTAACTATTGTATTACATTATATTCATAATGCCTTATACTTAAAATGAGCGGATTATTTATTATGAAAGAATTATTTTACTTTCATTTTCTCCCTACTTCTTTTTAATGGTAAAAAGGAATAAAAAGAAAATAAAAATTTAAATAAGTGAAATTACTATATATAGTTATTGACATCACCTATGTTAAATAGTACAAGTTCTGCGAGCGTAAGTATTAAATTAGTATTAAAGTCAATTCTATATTCTTATACAATGTAATCTGCTCGGGAATTTTTTTGGGCCAAATTGTGTTAGTAGTCAGGATGGAGTTGGTCTCCAGCCGATTTATGAATCCTTCTTAGCTCTCAGCTCCCTAGAGGACCATTTTGTTCGCTCCCGATTCTAGTCAGAGGAAGTAGTAGATTGGTCAAAAAAATTATAGACCTATAAAGATTTTTTCACAAATAAGTGTTCTTATTTTTTAAAAGGTATTTTGCACTAAATCAAACGAATTAAGGGATATATATAAGAGTTAGACCATCGAATTAGTTTGTGAAGTTCGTCTTTGGGAGAGTTTGCCTGTATTAGTTCGTTGGGGAACTACTAAACTCTAATTCTAATGTCAATCCAATCCAATCTAATGTCAACTTAGGTGTCAAATTATGAATTAGGTCATTATATATTGGCAACTACTGTCAAGTCCAGCTTAGGGATGGAACATCCTACTGTTAATCGATACCTACTCATTCCTATCTCTCTTCCGTTGCACGTTAACCTTCAGCTATATCCCCCATTTTGGGATTGAAGACACGCAAGTCTTTGTAATTTAAGAGTACATGTTAATGTTTTACTATTTTTTCAAGCCAATCAAGAGGTTATTCATCTAGTTCACCGGGAGTCGTTGTTCACTGCTGCACGTTGAAAGTAGAAAGGTGCCGAGACCTGTCATTATCCTACGATTAGTATATGTATTTACCTACTCACATAATTACATCTTGAGGATACTTACTAGTATTTGCAGCGAGCATTTGAGTATTTGGAGTCGTTTCTTGAGGATAATATTTAAGGTTTCATGTCAATCTAGAATTATAGGGATTTTTTATGTAGGTCATTAGGAATCGATTCCTATCTGGTTTGTGTATTATACGTTTCGAATGACCTTTCTTTTTTTGCTCGACAGCTATCAAACCCTTACTTATATTATAGATGCGATACAAGTACATACTTTCGATTCGATACCAAGTTTCTTCGTTTCGTACCCGAGTAGGTATCATATGAATAATTCGAAACTAAATAATCGAGTACTTATTTGTTTCAACATCTCTAGACTAATACTACTTTAAAATATTTGAATTTGAACCATCAACTTACTAATTTTCATTTTTTCTTTGGAAATATAAACTGTAATCGTGCTTAATTACAATATTGATAGGTGACTGTATTTTATTGTAATTATTATACCAACTTACTTTGAAGAGAGTTTCTTTATTAATGAAGGAAAACAACATTTTAATATTAAGAGTTTTTACAACTTTGTTCATAATTCCTTACGGAGTCATTTCTCTGTACTTTTTTAAATAAAAAAAGTCAGCAACATGAACTACGAACCAATGGATGTTGATGTAAGCAACAATTCAGAAATTGCTATGGATATTTCATATGAAACGCACAATGTAAACTGTGATTCTCCTACAATAAATACAAGGGAAAAGATTTCCAATACATCTTTAACAGATGACATAAATCTCAATGCCTTAATTATTAAGCAGCCGGAATTTCAAACTGTAAAGAAATATCATATAACCATTAAAAAGTCAAATAATTCTAGACAAATTTATATAGTTCTTTCATGTTTAATTATTACTTTTCTCTCAATTATTGGATATCAAATCCTAAATATTCAGTGTTATAATGAATTTAGCATAGAACATCTGAAAGGAAATCTACACAGTGTCATATATGGCCAAAGAGAAGCTATAGATAATATAATCAGAACATTAGAAAGTGATTCAGAACGCAAGATATTATTTTTGTATGGTGGTACAGGTGTTGGAAAAACCTATACAGTATCTATATTACTGGCAAATGCATGGAATTATTCAAATATATATCACTACACTATGCCTAGCTTTAAAACTGTGTTTTCAACAGACATGATGATAGGTTTGACGATATGTAAATCAGCAATTTTAGTAGTTGATGACATTAATTATCATGACATATATGTCAAAATTCATGTGAAGAGCATAATGAAGAAAAGTGAAGAATTGGGAAGAAATGTCACTGTGATATTAATTTATAACTATACAAAAAATAATAAAACATATGACAGTATGTTTAGTAAACAGTTGTTACAGAATTTTTCAGATGTAAGTGCATTGAAGCAAGTTATAAGATTTGAATCATTAACAGCTGATCATTTGAAAAAGTGTATAGAACATGAGTTGGGTGATCGAAAGTTGAATGAATATGAGTTTCAAAGTATACTCAAAAATTTTAATGTTATGACAGATGGTTGTAAAGGTGTGTACAAGAAAATGCACTATCTAAACATTGTATAAGGTATGTGCCATCATTTTTCTAGGTAGTGTATATAGACAGTAAATGTAATATTAAAAAGTAAATTTTATGTATATTATTATTAGTGTATATTTGATTTAATTGTATATGTAAAAGTATGACTGCCAATAAAAAATTTTTCATAGATCAAAAGAACTTTATTTTAGAGAATGTTACATGATAATCGGCAATGCAGAGGTTCAAGAAAGTATTTTGAATACAAATAGATTTACTGACAACTCTTTAATACATCTACACTTTCACATTTGGAAATTAGTCTACAAAAACTTAGCTTTCATTATAATAAAGAGCAAATTCTAACTTAAATTTGTGGTGCAGGAAAATATTAAATACCAAATTATTTTCTAACTATAAAACACAAAATTCTTTCATCCACATATTAAAACAGTGGTGCAATATTGATCACATCTTTGACTAAAATATTTTTACATTCCTTTTAAATATAAGGTAATCTAATAATAACTTGAATATAATGCTGAAAACAGGCTTACAAATAAAACCAATGCAACATAGATAATTAACTTTTTTTTTAAACTAATGCAATTAATTCTAGCTGAATGGTCAAAATTTTATAGTATTAAAAGATTTCAGCGAGTATAATATTATTAATAAAATAATAGAACAAAAACATATGTATATATCTAATAATAAGTATATGAAAGATTTATACCACATTGCACTGCACCCATATTATATAATCTACCTATATAATCACCATGAAACCATTTGGAACACATTATGGGCATTGAGCATAGTGGTGTCGAGTCATTCAATACAAATTAGATTACAGTTACCCATATGTGTATTCAAATGGTCCCTCAGGTAATAAAAGTTTAAGTAAGTACAATATTAAAAATAACAAATTTAATTACTTTAGCATTTTATTGTTTAAGAGATAGTAATAAAAAAGCAGCCAATAGAAAAAAGTTGGAATATTATTTAAAAAAGCTCCCCTAAATGTTAAAGCCAGTGAGATAAATGCATGCAAACAGTTAAATGTGCACTATTAACAATTTGCGGAGAGCCGATATATTTTTAAAGATAATATTCAAATATTATGATTATAATGGTTGGTATTCCATTTTATATTTATTATTGTTTGGAACACTGCTGAGGGAAGACAATACAAAGTAGGTACATTTAAATTATTCCTTTATTTGTGAATATATCTGGAAGATTAGGTTTGTGCATGTTGTATTGCATGATGTAGTCATAAATAATTGATCTTATAAGTTTGTTTGCCAGTAGTAATACAATAGATTTCAACAAGAATGTAAGTTATATTAAAGTTAATATGTATAAAATTTACTGTACTAAGTATATTTAAAATTTGATGATAGATTTAAAAATGTGCTGGCGAAATTTCGTAAATATTCATGAATAATAAAAGAAATATATGTTACATTGACATTCAATTACAAAGAAAACAAGTTCTTAATTTTACCATTCAGTTAGGTTCAAAATGCACAAAGGTCTACGATGTGGACACACACGCAAAAACGTGTCGCTTGAGGATAGTTCATCAACAAACGCTAGACCTACTTACTGTGTTATGGCAAATACTGGATACTAGGAACTAAGGCGCTGTGCTTCATTGTGTCCAAGTATTTTAGATTATGACCTTGAAACACTAATTGTAAGTAAATTTTGTATTGTATTGTAAATCTGAAAATGTCTAAGACAATATTCAACTTAATGAGCAGCACCTTATTACTTTGAGAGGCAAGAACCTAAATGTTAGTCTAAATGTTGGTATGTAAATAAATCTGACGCGTATAGGTATTTGCTTTCTGTAGGAATGGTAGCCAGAGTATACCAAATTATTTTTTTTAATTAGAATATTTACAGTCGGAAACATTAACTAATAAAACAAAAAAAATGTTTTAATTATAAAAATTGATGAAAGAATTACGTTAGATAAATATTGTACTATTGTCGCTGATATAGAATACCATCCAATGTTATATTTTATATATATCGTCAAATAGGTTACATTGAATGTGAAGGATTTAACAAGGTACATGCATGTATTTTCTATTACAAGACGTACTGAATTTTGAAATAAATATTAAAGGAATTTTAATATTTATTTCTTATTTTAAAATATATTTATATCTATAGGTGTATATGTATAGTATGTTTGTATAATACTTTGTTCCGTACAGAATCGGTAATTGCAGCATCTAATATTTAATATTTTTTAAAATATAGGTTTCCGACTGAGGCATATATGAGATATTAGGTAGGTAGAGTTTTTTATTAATAGGTAGGTATTTATTTTGTGATATAGCAATGGATCTAATATTTAATGTTACGTTTTCCATGAAATTTTACTCCTTGTGTTAATTTAATACAAGATAAAAGTACCGACCTATTTTGTGCTTGATGTAATACTGCGGGACATGTTATAGTTTACTACGTATTCCTTATATGTAACAGGTAAAAACGTAACTAAACTATACCAATCGTTTTTTCTGATAGTAAATAATAATCATCATAGCACAAATACTTATTTCCTTACAACTTACTTAGCAACATTAATAAAATTAAGTACCGGCCAATTCAATCTTAATAAATTAAGTATATATTATGTACAGTCGCCTGCACTAACACGTTAACTCTTCAGAACTTTATCACAATAATTTCACACAAAACAACAAACAAAGTTATATTGCAAGTTTTTGCAAATATGTGAAATTGTCAACAATGCGACTATGACAAAATTCTGAAGTGTTTACACATATTCGTACATGTGACTATACTTAACAGTATCAACCTTGAAATTATTGACACTGAATAAGTTACGTTGTCCGCATAACATTAGAATCTTTATGATTCTGCACAGTGATAGATTTTTCAGATTTACAATTTTGTAGGGAGGCCTATTTCTAAAATACTGGATTTATAAATTTACGCTATTAGGTACTACATAATATGACGCTATTAGGTACCTCCACAGAAAATATTAAATAGTATAATTATTTAGAATAAATGTTATCTGTGATATTTTTCAGATTGGTAAATAGGTAACTAGATATATTATTTAAACATCATTGGAGAGCAAATAACAAAACTAAATTCGACATCAATAAATATATAAATTCAAAGTGAACTAGATAACGAATGTTCATAAAATGTAAAATATATCTATTAAAAAAAAATACTTATAATTAATATTGTAAATTAGACGATACTTTTAACATGCAATGTGCAAATCAATATCTATTTACACAATGTAAGATACTATTTAGGTATGTATAATATGTTCAAAATTAATTTAAAACGTTGATTAAATACTAAATATGCGTAACAATAAAGACTAGAATACATTTTAGTTGTTACAGTTATTGGCACTAAATTTAATAATAATGGCACGACTATGTACTATGGGTATGGTAAAAATTTCACCATGATTGATTACGAATTTTATGTAATATTTTACATATGTGATGTATTTTATTTTATTACAATTCTAGCTCCATTGATGTTACAAAGTAAGTTTTGCTAACTATACTAAATTATTTTACAAAATTGTAAAAAACATGATTAAACATTGTTTATATCTAATTATATTTCTAAGAAATACTGAATTTACTGCAGACTTACAGTTATAGATTCAATAGTTAAAGCACATTATCTTAAGTGAAACTGTGCAAAAAACACCTTAAATTACACATTAAATATCACTTGGAAAAGCTCTTCTGAATGAATCCACAAACCAACAAACCATCTCTTGCACAGTTAACACTTTAAATTTTTATTAGTTATCAAATATAATATTTTTGATATTCAGGTACAATTAAAATCAATTTCGCAAATGAATTTAGCAGAAAAAGGAAGAAATTACGTCGTACCAAAGGCAAAGGGCTTTTTCTTGTAATACGCTGGTCACTGTTTCAATTAATAATGGGTAGTCCCGTAGGTATTAAGTGCAATTATATTATTCTGTTGAATAAACATGGATGAGTTTATTTTGTAGACATGATATAGAGGCCCTTGGTATTTAGTTTATAGAAGCAATAAGCGGATAATAGTAACAACATTAAAATCTAAAATTGACGAAATTGATATAATCCACTTAAAATGTAAAAGTTATAATGAATTTGCACACTAGCTATATATATTATTATAATAGTTGAAAAAAATTCCAACTCAATTATAAATTCTAAAGTAGATAATAATAAAAATTGTATTTTTAATAATCTACTAGAAATTTCTCACTGGTACGATGCATGTAGTGCCAATAACTGCATGATTCATTAGTTACTTAAATCTTACTAGCTAGGTATTTGATAACAAATAGAACACCATTTTTAAGCACGACAAAACATTCATAGTTAAAAATGTAGAGAGACTTATTGAGAAATGTGCTAATAATTCTAAACCTTGTTTTTTTTTGCTGTTATACATTTATAATGTAGATTCATTAGTATCAGATCTATTGGTACTTTGAGATTTCTTGAAGTTTGTGAGCTCAATTTTGCCACGTTATTCGTTGACAATCTTCGATTGTGGCCGAGATCAGGAGTGTGTACATTTACTATAACTAGCACAAAGCGTTGGATTGTTTGTCGGTATCACATTTTAGCCACATCAGAATTTTGCAGGATTTCTTCAAGGCTGACTGCAGATAAGGAGTAAATTACTTATATTGATTTACATAACATTTATCTATACGAAAGTAACTTAATTCCTTGGGATTACAAAGAAGTTCTAATAAAATTCGTGTAATTTTCATAGCAGATTTGGATAATTTTTATATCAATAGCTTCCTAAGGATGTTTGACGGTCTCTTTTAATCGATACTTTGAAGAGTTACAATTGTGGCTATCGCATCACCATTACATATAAGTTTTTTTAAGAGACCATTTTCCTTTGGCGCCAGGGATTGGTAAGAAGGGACTAGTTAGGAGCGATGAAAATGTATTGCTGTCCACTTGTTGTGGCGTTTGTGCCATATGCGAGTCTCTTGTGACTGATGTGTGGCACGTCTTCCTTCGGCATCCACACTTTGTGTCACGCAGACATATGCTATAACAGCGACGTCATCCCCAAGAAGATGTACTCTAGGATTTAAAATAGTCGTATTAGTTTTAACGTGGGTCGGAGTGTTATCAATGAAGAATTTATGAAATTCTACTCCCTCCACGAGATTGCCTAGTGCATCAGGGTCAAACGCAGTCACATTGGGATCACATAATTTGGAATATGTATCGTAGTCGCCATTGTTTATAGCATCTATAAGTACTTCAGTGATTTTTATCACTTCAGCACGACGCAAAGAAGCATTGCTATCGCCACGAGCTTTACCAAATGAATCAGCTTTTGATAATGCCTCTTCATCATGTTCTTTAGAAATTACAGTGCAAGCTCTGTCAACACCCTTTTTATCCTTATCCAAATCGTCGTCTTCCAGAGTAGTACTACTATCAGTCGATTCTTTTACCTGAGATCCATCACCTTTCTTGTTTACCATGGACTTTCCGGAGAAATTACGAGTGGCTAACATAGTAGTTAAAATCGCACCCTTTAATTTGCGACGTGCATTGAATTTCTTCAAACAATCTACAGTTTCTTGTCTATGCATTACAGAAGCAACACGTTCGCGATGGCAAATCCATGGATGCTTTAAAGCTTCAGAAGCTGTAATTCTCTTACTTGGATTAACAGTCAACATTTGATTAATGAGGCTTTTAGCTTCAGGTGTTACAGTATCCCATTCGGGTGACGGATAATCGTAGGCTCCAGCCTTAATTTGCCCATATAATCGATGTTGGTCTTCATCCCAGAATGGTGGATAGCCAACAAGCAAAATGTATAAGATCACACCACACGCCCAAATATCCACTGGCTTGCCGTAAGGTTCCTTCTTTAGAACTTCTGGTGAAAGATAACCCGGAGTTCCAGCAAATCCAAACCATGCTTGCTGATCACCTTGGACTTCTATGGCTAAACCGAAATCTGCCAATTTTACAGCGGCTCCTTTGGCTTTACTGGCCAACAACAAATTTTCGGGTTTTAAGTCTCTGTGCACAACTCCATTATGATGGCAATGGTGTACAGATTCTAGAATTTGTTGTATACAGTGCGAGGCATCGGCTTCAGAGTAGAACTCACGTGCCACAATGTCTTCAAACAATTCACCGCCCGTTACAAGATCAAACACGAGATAATGAAAATGTTCCTCTTGAATGGAATCATGTAGTCTTACAATGTTAGGGTGTTGTAATTTTCGACAAATTCTCGCCTCTCTTTCTAATTTTTGAAAGTCTCTAGCCGAGAGTTTTTTAGTGTTAATAATTTTGGCCGCAAATTCATATCCAGTCGATTTTTGAACTGCTCGTCTCACTATTGAAAACGCTCCTTTTCCTAATTCCTCTTTTAGATCATAATTATCAGAAAAACGAGTGCTAACACTTTCCCGATTTGGATTGGCCATGATTGACACAATTTACTTACTTTATCTGCTCCAAACAGCGTAATGTTTACTGCGTAATATTTGAGCACGATTTTCTTTTTTAGTAGGTACCTTAAACAAGGAAAGAACATGTTATGAATCACCAAATTAAAGGAAACTAGTATTTAAAGTTATTAATTCCTGTATGTGTGGTTTTAAGATTCTAACACGAACGTTCACAGTTCTCAACACTACAAATATGTATTTTTTTTTAAATAACTATTTGCAGTTCAAGAGTAATACACTTATTTCATATTACGATTATTACACTACTGACATGATAAGATTTATTAATGGATCACCTGCCTGCACTAATGGTTTACGGTGTCAGCACACCAGTGAACCATGATAAGATGAACATGAGGTCAGGTCAATTACCCCATCGAGACAAATTTACACTTTTTCATGAGGGTTTTCAGGGGGAACCGAGGAAGATCAACCATATATTGCTAGCACCAATGCTATGGGTCATCAGATCATTTTACTAACTACTAATACCTTATTCCCCAATAGGACGTACATTGTATTTTTATTGTAATTTACTATTTCGTTCAAATTTATTTGTATTAAAATCATAACGTATCATACATGCCTAAAAATAATGGGACAAAAACACTACATTTAAACTCTATTTATTTTCCATATATATAATATATTATTTATATATTAAGTGACCATGTACTTAGGTACTATTATTATTTAATAAATATGATAATACTTGTATCAATACATATATCATGTACATACATTATATATGTATTGTACATTATAAATGTATTTTAATATTGAGGTGGTTATATACCCGTAATATTATAAAAATCTTTCAATCTATGATCATTTCTTAAAACAATTGTCTGTATATTTATAAAATATTATTTGAAAGTAAAGTATGCGAAAATTGTTAACAGAAATTTCTTTTTTATTTATTTAAGACATATTGGCAATGGCAATTAGGTAACTAATTAATTAATAAAATTAACTTTTATTTATTCAACTGTTCAGCTATTTAATGTTACCCAGTGCTATTTTTATTTTGTATGTAAGTATTAAGATATCAACTATAGTATATTCGTAATAGACTATATTAAAAAGCCGTTTGTCTATTCATATTCCACTTACGAAATGTTCAAAATAGATATTGTCAAGGAGCGAACGCTTTTTATCCGAATGAAAAGCGTCGACACTATTTTGGTCACCCACTCTTAATTGAAGTTCTACTAGCTCAATATAAAACGCGTAGATGCCTAGACAATAGTAATCGTGGTCACAAACATAGACTTCTAATATTAACATCACGGCACCGGGATGACATTCCGTTAGCGTAAAATAATCGATACACCATTGTCTCAACACATTCACCAAAATCCTGAGTATATTATAATCCACTTAAGGAGTACAAAGCGGCTAATGCTCACAATACGCTTCATTACGACGTAAAAAATCATAAACATTAGTTTAAAAATAACACTTGTATTAATTTATATAGCAACGAAATGACCAGTGCGCGACATTCTATGATATTCTTAGCAGTATTAACATCACGGAGTGTTCCCGATATATTTTTAATAGTTCAAGATAAATTATTTACGCAATTGGAGGCCGTATATACTTTTTATCATTTTCGAATAAAAATACTTATTTACCTATTATGTGCCCATTTTACACAATAGCCAATGAGATGAAAATCAAAAAAGAAGGGCTAGGCCCTACACCACACTCTCCTTCTGCTCCGGACACGAGCTTCGGGGTCAAATTCATAGACATTTATGTGTTGCCAGAATGCTGCGCAGTAAATATTTTATTTGTAATACGTTATACCCAATAACGTCTTTAAATGGTAAAAAATGACACAAGAGTGGTTTCGATTACATAATTTGGAATTTAAATTATATTTACATGCGTCAGTTTTTTAAACGTTAATTGTTTTCTTTAATGGAATTTTTACTCCTGTGAATACTGTTCGGTTAACCTAAAATCGATATACTAGCGCAGCGCTAAACCAAAGAGAATATCAGCTGAAATGATTTTCTGCGCCATCTACTGGTGCGAAAGGGCAACTAAATATTTCGTTAGCCAACGTCAACTAGTTGGTTATTATAGCAATTTATGGCTGCACTGTATGTAATACGGCCGTATAATGTATAGGTGTATTGTTTCTGGCCTAAACTTTTGTGACGCGCGTACTTTAATATCCTAACGATTGAAAATAATGTAAGTAGGTATATATAGGATAGTCTTAAATATGTACTAGATCAGGATCTTAATGAAGGTGTTTTAGGTAGGTAGACTGTAAATAGTCGTCTGCGTAGGTACCTCAGTCTCACCTATTTCCGCCACCGTGCAGCTTGCTTTGTAAGCTGTGTTTCGGTTGCTAGGTCCACATTAAGCACGGACATTACACGATAAGGGACATGCCGCATGCCGTCTTAGTCATCTCAAATGGCAACGCATGAGTCATATCGTGGATGTTACATGATGCTGTGATATTCTTAATGCTATTCATGAATATAGGCGATGGTTACCACTTACCATCAGGTGAGTCGTCAGCCTGTTTGCCATTCCAATTACGTAAAGTAAAATATTTTTATTATATTTGAATATTTTGTATGTAAGATATACTAAGATATTATTGGAATGTATATATGTAACAACTTACTAAATATATTTTATGATAATTATCGGCTAACATTAATGATAAAATGTTATAACATTTCATCAATATACATTTGTCATTAATCCGCAAAAATTCGACATCATACGTGGCATTTGATATATAGATGATGGGTTATTTTTTATCATGGTCGCGCAAATATATAGAAGTTTTATAATGATTATATATACAAAGATGAAGCAGATTAGTAGACTTAACATTTCTGCATAATAATAATAGACCTTTTTGACGATAGATAAAACAAACAACGATGCTACATTAGTTAAAATGTCAAACTTAGTATACCTAGACCTTATTAATTTAATTAATGACTTCTGTCGGATTATTAAAGGTTCAAACCTTTAGTATTTTAGAAAGAAATTTGGCAGTCAGGTACTATGGTATTATGTAAGTTAGGTACGTACGACCGAACGTAAACTGAAATAAACATTAAAATGGCATATGTCAAATTTTGTTATCCTTTTTTTATTAGAGTAATAATAATATATATTTATACATAATAGTAGTATTATTTCGTTTGTTTTATTTATACAAAATTATGACAAGATATCGACCACAAGAGCGTGGCGCTTAAATTCAGAAGATAAAATTATTTAATTAATGTCAGAGTAATTCTAATTTTAAATACGTTGTTGGTGTTAAGTTGTTTTTTGTCGAACGCTAGTTTAATCGTTCCTATTCTTTCTTACTAATCTGCGTTTGTTGTAATGCCAATGCAAATCATCCCTAGCAGTGGAACTATATCTCTTATTGATATTGCGTCTAATGTATTGAATTTGGTTTAAAATAGTTTGTACAGTCGCCTACATTTAGATTTAAAAAATTTTCACATAATAATATCTACTTGAAAATCTTATATATAAAATTCTCGTGTCACTGTTTTCGTTCTCATACTCCTCCGAAACGGCTTGACCGATTCTCATGAAATTTTGTGAGCGTATTGTGTAGGTCTGAGAATCGGCTAACATCTATTTTTCATCCCTCTAAATGTTAGGGGTAGTCTACCCCTAAATTGTTATTTTTATTTTAAGGCAAAACAACGTTTGCCGGGACAGCTAGTAATATATAAAATTGTGAAAGTATTAAAGACGTTATTAAGTACATTATTGATTTTTCATGCATGTAACTTGTTTAGACATTCCATAATATTTAAAATATCTGGACCCGTTTGGGTTCAAATAAAGACCACAGACATATGACAGATACAGACAACATCCGCCTCGGTGGTCTAACGTTTTATTACACCGTTTTACCTCCATTGGTCGCCGTTTTGATTCCTCGCACGGTAAAAACATTTGTATTTATGAGTATGTTGTTTGTATTGGTCTGGATTATTTCTACGTATATTGTGTATATATTTCCAAAACATTTATTTGCTACTTGTATCAGTTGTCTAGTACCCACTAGCGGTTTGGGACTTGATGGCGCTATGAATTGTCTAGGGATATTATTATTCTAAGCTGTTTAATTGGAAATAACTACTTATAAAATAGTTCCGTTATATATCATTAAATATATATTTGATTCTTGGGAGAGGTCTCAGGATGCAGTCGGTGTATTTTGTGATCTTTCAAAAGCATTTGATTGCGTTGAACATGAAACACTTTTGCTCAAACTTGAACATTACGGTATTAGATATGAAGCACAAAGCATGATGAAATCCTATCTAAATAATAGAATGCAAGTTGTCGAAATAAATGGTGTAAAGTCTGAGGGAACTAGTATTAAAATGGGTGTTCCTCAGGGCTCTATTTTAGGTCCTTTCTTATTTTTAGTTTACATAAATGATCTTCCTTATATGGTAGAAAAGATAGCTGACATAGTTCTGTTTGCTGATGATACTTCATTAGTATTCAAAGTCAATCGACATATTGATGATTTGGACGAAGTAAACGGTGCTCTTTCTTATGTTTTAAAATGGTTTACAGCTAATAATATGTTACTAAATGCAAATAAAACTAAATGTATCAAATTTACTCTCCCCAATGTAAGGCCGGTAGATTAAAAAATCACGTTGGACAATAAACCTATTAATTTTGTGGATGATACTGTATTTCTAGGTATCACATTAGATTCCAAGTTGCAATGGGGCGCTCATATTACTAAATTAGCGAGTCGACTTAGTTCCGCCGCTTATGCGGTAAGAAGAATTAAACAATTAACAGACGTGGCAACGGCTAAACTTGTGTACTTTAGCTATTTCCATAGCATTATGTCGTATGGTATTTTGTTATGGGGCAAAGCAGCTGATATAAATACAATATTTATTTTACAAAAGAGGGCCATTCGCTCCATTTATAGCATGGGTTCCAGGGAGTCTTTGCGAGAGTGCTTTAAGGAATCAAATATCCTCACCGTTGCTTCTCAATACATTTATGAAAATATCATGTATGCCAGGAAGAATATAGACAGTTTCAAAAGAGTTAGTGATTGCACTAATAAAAGCTTACGTAACAATAACAAACTGATTTTACCTAAATGTCGTTTGGCTAAAGTTAGTAACTCGTTTTATGGCAATTGCGTAAGGTTTTACAATAAAATTCCAGAGTCTGTTATAAATCTGCCAGAAAAAAGATTTAAATGTCAAATAAAACACTTCCTTTGCAAAAAGGCTTACTATAAAATTGAAGAATTCGTTAACGATAATAATGTTTCTGTAGAAAAATTTTAAATACATAGCACTGACAATATTATCTGATTACACTAATAATGAGTGCGTAGCGATTTCTATGTTGATTGTCGCATGCCTCTTACTTGTTACACTGTAATTATTTATATAAAAAAAAAAAAACATCTATTGAAAAGAGCAACACACAAGTTTCTTGCTCATTCTTCTTGTGATGAATCTGCATTCCGAATGAGTGGTAGAATCAAAATATGACTATTCAAAAGTGCTTGTAATGAGTTTATTTGAATAAAGATTATTTCTATTTCTATTTCTATTTCTATTTCTATTTCTATCTATGCATTTACGCGAGATAATATATAATATAATAATTTTTTGTAAAAAATATTCAAATTTTGTGAACATTATGAATAATCATATCGCCAGATGAAATCTTAATTAGTTTTTAAGTTCGGGCCTTTTTTCTTTGCATTGTCGTCGACCACTTTGTAACAATGGCCTAGCAGTTGCTAACGGAACGTTTGGATAAAAGACCCCTGTGAACGGTCCAACTCCACGATTGATTCACAAAAATCAAAACTGGTTCGCATCTTGCGCAAGTGCAGGGGGAACAAACAAGGGCTTTAGGTACGAGCCCTTCCGAAATTCGCCGGTGCACAATGCACCCTCCGTACCATCCCCACGCGAGTACTCTTATTATTACGCGGCTCCGGTTCCTGTCCCCCATATTGTCCATATTCTTTTGGTATTCGTTTGTCGCGTCCCAAAGTTTGCGCGTTCCTGTGCAGTTATGTTCCATAAGTTTTACTCTTTAATATTGCGTTCGAATCTTTTTCTGATCTGTTATTTAGAAATCGTCGATTTCAATGTGCAAATTATGTACACGGTAGTACACAATCGGCTCGGTCGTTGCTTCTGTCACCTAATATTGGCAGCGAAGGGAAGTATTAAGGTTTCGAACGTTGCGGTCGTCTCAGGTTGCTTTTCTCATGAGTGGACGTGTATGTAAAATTATAACTTGAGAATAATATGTTCAGTAAGAGCGTCTGATGCATGGCGTGCCCCGTGCAGCGTCCGCAGAACGTTGTTGTGAGTTAGTATATCGATCGTGGACTATTTCATTATCCATGAAATGCGTTGTGTATATGCGGTGATCGTTACAATTTGGCGGGAGTCTGATTTGATGCGCCACGCTACACCATATGAGGCGGTAAGTTTATAAATTCTGCTTATTATTCTATTTACTACCGACTTTGGAATCTTGGCTTTATTTTAGTATTGTTGCTATAGAGTATTGTTTGCTTAATTTTAGTTTTCATTCTACCGCGGTTTAATTTGAACCTTTTGAAAATTTTCAATATAGTCGTACAAAAGTAATATCATTCTAACCTTATCTTTTTGTTATAATTGTAATTTCTACTATATACTGCGTACCAATAGGTATGCATCTG